GAGATCCTACCCACGGTCTCTGCAGCCCAGACAAGTAGGAAGGGCTCTTATCCTAAAGAGTCTGGCTTTTGAAGTGGAACAGACCAGTGGGAATGCTGAAACACTTTCAGCTCAAAGGGGACAAGTTGGCTTGCAGGGCCTCCTGAAGTGGAGGAAGTCATCCCCATCCTCATTATGCCAACTTCCATATAGAAGATTGTCCATGAGAGAGGGAGGGTCAGCTATGTCTGTTTAATTGAAGAATCCCATGGCTATAGGGCTAGAACTGAGAGCCAGCAGAGGACCTGGCTCATCAGCAGGGTGCTCTTGTTGTGCTGGCTCTGGGTCCAGCCTACCTTGTAAATGTAGCATGGGAGAAAGGAAATTTCGTAATTTTTATATTAAGTTGTTGGGCTGTTGAATTCCTACTCCACTATTTCCTGCCAGGAGCCCACCTCAAAGCACGCAAGACACAAGGAGTGCTGAGAGCCTCGTGGATCAGCACTTGACTCAGAAAAGTTAGATCTGATTATAGCTACCTTGTACAGGACAAGCTTCCATTCACTGCAGCCGGGTAGAGGAATTTTCTGGTGTGCTGAGGGTTCAGCAGAAAACCTTCTGAGTTCTTCCTATTTCCTGACCCTTCCTCCACCTGCTCTTATTTGAAAATCTTTCTACAGGGACATTTATGTCCATTGTCTTCCTTTAGGGAGCCCTAGGATCCTGGGATCCAGCTACTGTTTGATAAGGGAGGATTACAAGGAGCCATCTCACTGGGCTGGCAGCTGACAAACCAGAGGTGTAGAGGGTATGCAAGATTGGCTGAATGTGGGCTGAACCTGGGATATCCTTTCAAAGTTTTTTTGTTTGTTTGTTTTTTTGTTGTTGTTTTTTTAACTAAGTCCCTGACATGAGCTTGTTTTCTTGTCATTGGCTTCATTCTCTTAAAAACTGAGCACAGCAGTAATGGGGGGGGGGGGGTGTTAATTAAGGTGCTAGTTCATGGGGCCCTGGATACTGGAGTTCATAATGGACTGTGAGGATTACTCCAAGACTCCATACCTTATTTGGGATATCATGTACCCCAGGATTGCATATTCTATTCTGCAAGCCACCTGGTTGAATTGTTTCCAATTTCCTAGACAGAGAAAGCTTTCTTTGATGGCTGTGTGGCTGCCTTTCAAAATGACATGGATAAGCACAGCCCTCATATTTCAAAATATTGGACGTTTTAGATATTCTTCCTGTCCCCCGATGCTGCTCTCTCCTGCCATGAGCATCGGAAAAGCCACAGAGCTCAAAGTCAGCCGCAGGATCTCTAATAGTGCTACTGGAATCCCAGGGGCACTTCTCCTGCCCCTCACCTTTCTTCCATCTCACCACTTTGCTCACACCTCCAACCCATCCCCCAGCTGCCTGGGATCACTCATTCAACAAACCTATCCCTGCTCCATGAGACAAGTGTAGTAGGAACAAACTTGGTCTCTAGGGCAGGAAGACCTGGGCTGGAGTCCCAGCTTTACAATTTACTAGCTGTGCCACCTTGAGAAAGGTAGACTCTCAGATCCTCAGTTTCTTCATCTGTGAAATGATAGTGACAGTGCCTACTCTGCAGGGTTTGTAGCATATCCAGCTCAGTATCTGGCCCATAGACAATCATGCTCAGTTATTGGTAGCTATTATTGTTAGCGGAATAAAACTCAGCTTATTTTTTAATTGAAGTATAATTAAAGTATAATTCAAACACAGCCTAGCTAGCAAACTTAACCTCTATTTTCTTTTCCCTCCCCAAACTACCTGGATTTCTCTACTTCCATCCCCATATAAGGCAGTCCCAACTAAAGGAGCTGTTTTTTCTTCTGTCCTATGCCCTGTTTTCCTGATGGTGTTTTTTTTCCTGTCAACACAGCTTATTTATCTCTCCCTTTTTCTTTTCATCATCTCCCTTGAAATCTTGGGGTGGGTAGCAACAGTTAGTTTAGGAAAGATTTACAAACTGATGAAAGGTCAACTCAGAAACTCTTCCTGGATTAAGAAAGCTCTATGTAGCACAGAGGACAGGCTAATATATCAGGGGATTAATTCCAATATCAATTAAGCTCCTTATTTAAGAGTTTTTTTTCTCAGCCAGTGTTCTTGATGACCTATAAATATAGTCTGGACTTTGTTCCGCCTACTACACAAGGTTCTTAGTAAAAACACCATGTTCAGACAGCTTGTGACCTAAATGTAACATAATATCCTGAGATTGGGGTTGTCTCCCACCTAAACTGGGGTAAACAAAAACACCATCCCTGGCTAGTGTAGTAGGTTTGCTTGAACAATTGTTCGTGAGCCCTCTGCAAACAGAATGGACCTTGTGTACCACCAGTGGGGTCCAATGGGAACCCCACATCATAGGAAAAATATTGCCTGTTTTGTAGCATAACTGCCCTGGCAGCCTGGAGAAAATCAAGGCCCTCAGACTGGGCTTCACTGGGACCTTGACAAGAGTGTCAGTGCCAGGCACCTGGTTAGGAGAAATATCCTGAAGCAAATAATAATTGCCTTCTTTGCTGATAAGAGAGCCCCAGTACTTTTCCAACAGCAAGATTGCATTAAGGTATTTCTTTGGACCACAGCCTGAATAACAAACTAGTTCATGAGTACTGGCCCTAACCTCAACCAAACTATTGTATATATGGTGGAACCCAATGTTCTCCTATGGCCCTGAGTTGTAAATAATACTCCCAGTTTCATCACCTGTCCCTTGTTCTGTCCAGGTTGCTCCCTCTGGCTGCAATTATTTGTGTGTCCACGAGGTGGCCTCACTTAGGAAAGAGCCAGAGAAAAGGACCTCAAGCCTCCAATGTCTTTTTTTAAGCTTGAAGATGAAAATATAGTTTGATGGGAACAAACGTAACTCTTAGTGGGCAACGATAACTTCATTTTCCTTGTGATTTGGAATGTGTCTGTGCCTGAAGTACCCTAATCCTATGTATGGCTGGACCTATCACAGGTGTTTTCCTGGGACGATTTATATATATAGTATTGGTTTGTAGTTTTGTCTTTTGCTGTTTATAGGAAAGTACCAGAATATTGTTTTTTTTAAAAAAAAAAATAGGGCCATGAAATACCGGATACTGTTAAATGTTGAATGCAGAAGAGGGTGTAGAAACCAAAGAGAAAATTGCTGGCATATTTTGGTCATTCCAGTGCCCACTCCCCTACTGTCTCCTCCCATGTCCTTTGTCACCCACCTGGCCCCTAGGTGCTCCCAGTACTTGTTCCCCTACTCATCTGAGCTCCTGGACACGCTCTCCTCCACACAGACACATTGGCATGCACAGATGAGCTCAGCCCCATTCATGAATCCCATCATGTCACAGATCTGTGCACGTGTCAGTACCCCCAAAGGAGGAGATGAGTGGATAGGTGCTGGCGTTGGGGCAGGTCAGCGAGCCCACTGGTTGTGTGAGGGGACATGCAGGTGACAAAGTATGTGTGCAAGAGAGAGACTGAAAAGGCAGGCGGTGGGAAGAAGGAGAGGCTCCTGGTGGTGAGGGTGGGTGTCCAGGGAGTGTGGCATGTGATAGCATCGCAAAGCCATAGGAATATACTGGCTGACCCCTGGAGAAGAGCTTTTAAAACCAGCATCGCCCTCTACTGCATGCTTTCTATCTACTGTTATGGCATTTGTATTAATTTCTCTAAGAAATCAGTTCCAGTTTGGTTTTTACCAATCTCCAGAGCCCTCTTTGGCGATGCCAGTTGGCACAAGAAAGTGCTGAACTGTTTACAGTCCCAGCCTCAGGTTCAGGGAGCGGATGTGGTTTCACTCGGCCACAAAGCCCCGTACAAGACTCATTTGCATGACCCCTGACGCCATGTGACGTAGCCGACTCCGCCTATATAAAGAAGCAGGAGCCGAAATATCTCTGAGTCTGGGTTGGTCTAGCGGCCGTGGAGTTTGCGACACACTAGGTGACACCCCTAGAGTCACCTCCCTTCAAGTCCGGAGCGCTTGCCTGGCTTTGAGTCCTGTTGGCAGCGTTTGCCCCCTCCTAGCCCCAGGGTCGGACGCCCAAAGCCCATCACCTTGCAGCGAGCTAGCAGCCCCAGCCGCCAGCCCAGCCCGCCCAGCCTACCCAGCCTGCCCAGCCCACCCAGCTCGGCCCGATTTCCCCGGAAGCCCAGCCATGAACACCGAAATGTATCAGACCCCCATGGAGGTGGCTGTCTATCAGCTGCACAATTTCAACATCTCATTCTTCTCTTCCCTGCTTGGAGGGGATGTGGTTTCCGTTAAGCTGGATAACAGGTAAACTACTGGCCGAAGCTCCTTAGCGGGCTAGCGGTATATCTGGGCTAGCCCCACACTGCGGGTTCTGCCTGCCTGGTTTCTCCCGGTGCAGCATCTTGGGAAGGGGCGGGGGTAGGGTATGCGGAGGGGGTGGGGTGTCACCGCCGCGCTGGGATCCGTCGTCGGAGCGTCCCTGCGGCCTCTGCGCCGTGAGAACGAGCTGCTGCAGCCCGAGGCGGAGGCAGAGGGGAGGCGGGCAGGGCTGAGCAGGACTGGGCAGGGGGCTAGCTGTGCGCTGGGCGCCTCTGGGGAGAAGACCGGAAGCTTCTGAGCCCAGAAGGAATTCATAGCTAGCTTCGGAGCTCGGTAGGTTTACCCGGGATCTTCTGGAACAGAGCCGCAAAGGGCCAGCGGCAGGGGACTCCCTGGGTCGCGCTCCCTTTTGTTTGCCTGTCGCCCGATCTAAGGAACCGGCCATGCTGGTCCAGGCGCCCCGAGACCCGCGCACCGCTGTGCACTGAGCTCTGGGCGGTGGCAGCGAGGAGCCAGCCTGGGTGGGGAGGTGCAGCTTCTTGCAGAGTCCAGGAAGGGACCTGGGGACAAGGTGCCCGGAAATGCGAGCCCGGGAGGCGGGACAGAAAAAGAGCTAGGGCAGGTGGAGGACTTTGGCCACAGCTACCAGGTACTCAAAGTGGAACGGAGGTGGGTAATGAGGTTACTTTGCTTTTTGTCTTGGCAGTGCCTCCGGAGCCAGCGTGGTGGCCTTAGACAACAAAATTGAGCAGGCCATGGTGAGTGGCATCACTGCGTCATTCCCATCCCCAGTCCTAGCTGCTGCTTATGTAACTTAGCATGATTGAGGGGATGGATGCAAAAGCCATTAGCCAAGAGCCTGAGGAAGCCAGCAGCCAGCTCTCTATGCCCTTGCAGGCCTTAAGTAAAGTCCCATTAGCGTGGCATCTTTAAGGTTACTTCCAGTCTACCCTCCACGGCTCCCTCCTTTCTTCCTCTCACCCATCCTGGGGCTTTGCAGCAGCCTCTGGCTCCCTCCTAGACCCATTGCAGGGCAGTGAGCTCAGACACTTGTATTTGTCTGCATCCCACATTTGGCAGGAACCAGAGCTCATTGGATGTGGCAGGCTGCACTGCAGTGCCTCTGCAAAGCCTGGGCTGGGGTCAGGAGTTGGGAGGGAACAGGAAACAAAGCACCCTATACCTTCCCCTCCCTTTACCAGGTAGAGATCCCGCTTCACCTAGCAGCCATAATGGCTGCAGGGGGTTAAGGCGGTCAGCACTTAGTAACAACTTAATTGTGCCCTGAAGCCTAATGACAGAGTTCCCTGACCCCAGTACAGTCATCAGATTCAGAGAGGATGCAGCAATCAGGTACTTTTCCCCAGGGCAAGTGTCTTGTCACACCAGGCTTCAGGACAGCTACAACTCAGTGTGCTGGGTCACATGGAGAGGAAGAGACTCCAAAATTGCCCATTGTATTGTCTTGGTGAAGATACATAAAACAGACAAACAGTGTGGGGTACATTGAAGGTCCTCCCTAGGATCTGGGCCAGTAGCAGGAACTTATGTGAAAATGGGGATATAGCCAACCACCAGCAACCAGCAGAAGTCTCACCCAAAATTCTCCTAAGCGGCCAGTTTGAAAGCCATTAGAAACTTTTAGGGGATGGAGGGGGCCCTGTGTAGCTCAAATCTGGACTCCCAACTCAGGCATTGTCCTGATCTTGGCAGCTCTCCTAAGCAACTGTTTAGGTGCTTTGGAGTAGGGTGCAAGAGGAATAGGGCTGAAGAGCCAGCATTCTGAGGGGTTGCTGAGGGAAAGTTGAAGGTCAGTGGCATGAGGGAGAGCACAGGTACCTTAATGGCAAGGTGAAAGTGCGGTGGAGGAGTCATGATGGCTAATGATGGCTTTCTTGTGATTTCCTCTGTGACAGGATCTGGTGAAAAATCATCTGATGTATGCTGTGAGAGAGGAGGTGGAGATCCTGAAGGAGCAGATCAGAGAGCTGGTGGAGAAAAACTCCCAGCTGGAGCGTGAGAACACCCTGTTGAAGACCTTGGCCAGCCCAGAGCAGCTGGAAAAGTTCCAGTCCCGTCTGAGCCCTGAAGAGCCAGCTCCTGAAACCCCACAATCGCCTGAGGCCCCTGATGGTTCTGCAGTGTAAGTGGCTCTGTCCTCAGGGTGGGCAGAGCCACTAAACTTGTTCTACCTAGTTCTTTCCAGTTTGTTTTTGGCTCCCCAAGCGTCATCTCACGTGGAGAACTTTACACCTAGCATAGCTGGTGCCAAGAGATGTCCCAAGGACATGGCCACCTGGGTCCACTCCAGTAACAGACCCCTGACAAAGAGCAGGTCTTTGGAGGCTGAGTTGCATGGGGCCTCGTCACCCCAAGCCAGTGAGCCTCTAATGCCACCGTGCCCTGGGGGCTCCCAGGGTCCAGGCAACTTTGCTGTGACTGGCAAAGGAGAAAAGTCGTTTGAGATGTGATGCCAGTTTGCTCCTGAAAGTATAAGGGGGTCTGCTTTTCATTTCCATGGACATCTTTAACAGCTTCACCTGACAACGACTGTTTCTATAAAGAAGCCACTTGTGTTTTAAGCAGAGGCGCACCCTCTCTCTTATCCCCTGCCTCGCCAAGGCAGGACCACAGGTGGGAGAGATTGAGCCAAGTCAGCCTTCTGTCGGTTAATATGGTATAATGCATGGCTTTGTGCACAGCCCAGTGTGGGATTACAGCTTTGGGATGACTGCCTACAAAGTTCTGTTTGGTTAGTAATGGCATAGTTTTTCTATATAGCCATACATGCATATATATACCCATAGGGATAGATCTATATCTTAGTGTAGTGATGTATACATATACACATACACCTACGTTTTGAAGGGCCTAAACAGCTTTGGGAGTATTGACCAGTCCCTTATCTCTTAAGGCCAGTTATTTTACTGTGTTCATTTACCAAATTGATCCAGTTTGTCCTTTAGGTTAAGTAAGACTAAAAAGTAAAGGCAAGGAGAGGGCCAGCCTCTGAATGCAGCCACAGATGCCTTGCAGCTGCAATCCTTGCCCCATCTGTCCGCTGAAGACATGTGAGGTCCTCTTTTGAATGCCAAACCCACCATTCACTGGTGCTGACTACATAGAATGGGGTTGAGAGATCAGCTGGTACTTCACATTCTTATTCAAAAACTTTTTTTTTAATGTTTGTGGAAAACTTTCAAGTAAAGAGAATGATTGGCTTGCTGGTGTCCTTTTGTGGACAAGGGATGAACAGACAATGGCTTTGACTTGATGATGCCTGGGTGGTATGCTCAGGGAGTTTGTCTCTAGGAGGTTCTGTGGCAGTGAATACTTTCCACTTTCTGACACCTTATCCTGATGTACGTTCTCCAGGATTTGGATTTTGATTTCTCAAATGTAGCTTGAAATTTCAATAAACTTTGCTCTTTTTTTCTAAAAATAAGCCTGGTGTCTGACTCAGTATAAATGGAGTGGATGGCAAAGGCTCCTCAAGTTGTTGGGGGCACTATTTTCCTGATTCACTACCTATTCATGAGCACCCCCTAAATATCAGGCCTATGCTACCTCCACAATCCTGTGTAACTGACACAATACCCACATTGTACTGGTGAGGAAGCTGAGACTAAGCCAATTTAAGTGACTTGCACAAAGTCACACAGCTTTATGGCAAATTGGGACTCAACCCCACACCCATCCCTTTCTGTCCTGCCTCTTCTTTCTTATGACATCTTCAAAGTGAGTGGCAAGGTGACTACTAACACACGACCTCAGCTTGAGGGGTGACTTGGGAGGAAGAATACCTCAAAAAGACCCAAAAGAAAAGGGAAGGTTACATAAGAGAGTGAGCAAGAAGAGAGGAATCAAATAATTATGAGTGAGCCTCTTCCCTCTTCTGAAAACATCAGGATCATTTAGTGCATTCACCTTAATACCAATCCATATGCGACACTTGACCTTGGTTGAGGAACTAAGAGGACCTTAGGAAAGGACACAGAATGCATGTGGTGGCCAAAATTTCATCCCTCTCCCCCAAGAAAAGATACTTTCAGTCCCTGCTGCTCCACTTGTCTCTGCTGGCAGTTTGCTTGCAAAACTCATGAGTCGCATGGGCAGGATCAAGTCTAATGATCCTGACTCCAGCTTCCCTCCTCTGCCTCTCTTTGAAGTTCATCCTTACCCATCACCTTTTCCCCGGTCCCATGTCTCTGGCATCCAGGGTCCTGTATTTTCTCTGATTGGCCATCAAACATTTGGTGTCTACTAACCAGGACCCTGAACTGTGTTCTAGGTCCCAGTGGAGGTTATCACCCCTATCTGAGTGACTCATTTAATCTCAGCATCCTATAGCATATATACCTATTCCTTTGCCACTTGAATTTGAACAGACATCTTGATTTTCCTGTGCCATAAACCTCAAATACCTGGAGGTCTTAGCCCCCTCCTTTTGGCCAATCATGGTCTAAATATATTCAAAATGTCATGCTTCCTTCACGGTAAAGCTCATACATATTGGCCTGTTCTTTTCTAATCACCAAAATTGTTCTTCAGAACTTTACAAACTCCTGCTTGGTGGCCTTTCAAATCCTAATTTCCCCACCTGCTCCTAATTTCTCTGTTCATGATGTCAACTTCATTGTCTACAATTTGGAAATGGTGTGCAGATTTCACAGCTGCTAAAACAGATACAAAATTTGGACTAGTCAGCCACCCCCAACCTTGACTGGCTCTCCCCAGTCCCCACTTACTCCCAAACCCCTTCTCCTTTCACAATGAGTTGAGGGACTTTTGACTCTTCAGCTCTTCTGTAGACTTACCAAACATGATTTCCAAGCAAACATGAGCCAAAAGATGGAAAAAAAAAAAAAAAAAGAAACACCTCAGAAGATGGCCCAGCAAACACATAGCCATCTCTGGTGATCCAGCCCTTCCCTACAAGAAAAGGGAAAAACTTACCCACAATCACATAGTGGGAAAGAGAGAACAACTTTGTTTCCTAGGCAACCCTAACTAAACAGAGACAAACACTGACACTTAGGAGGCCACAACAGTTGTTAGATTAGATAAGAGGAACTTTGTGGCTGTTTGTTAGTCACATATAGGATCAGATCTTTTTTTGTTGTCCCACAGAAAAACAACGGGGTGGAGAAAGGCAAAAGAACACATTGCTCCTGGAAAGAGCTTCACAGTTTCTGGGCTCATCTGGTCCAGCTGGACCCAGAACAAGGAAAAGAACAAAAGGAACAGCAGCAGTAATGTTCTCCTGCCTGGGCATGCCCCCTCTCTATGTCCCCTCCTATCTATTATCTCATCTGATCCTCACAGCAGTCCTCCTTGCATGTCAACAAAAATCACAAGAGTACAAATCCACGCCCCTTCTCATGAACACAGAACATTTTGTTTCCTGCCTTTAGAAAAAGAGGTAGTTATGATTTACCTCCATTTGACAGAAAAGAAAACTAAGAGCCAGAGAGTTAGGTGCTACTCCCACGGCACCCTTTTTCCCAGGGGGCAGTGATTCCCAACCTGTGTAACCACAAGGACCAGTTTTATTGTATTTTTTAAAATATGTTTTTATTGATATTTTTTAGAAAGAGAGGAAGGGGGAGAGAGAGAAACATCAGTGAGAGAGAGAAACGTCGATCAGCTGCCTCCTGCATGTCCCCTACAGGGGATTGAGCCTACAACCCAGGCATGTGCCTTGATGAGGAATCAAATGGGGAACCTCTCAGTCCACAGGATGATGCTAAATCCACTGAGTCACATTGGCCAGGCAAGGACCAGTTTTAAATGTCAAGAATATCCTCAGACCTCCCCTAACCTGATAGTATATGAACTTTTGGTATTCACTAAGAGAGAGAAAACACATAATGACAAACCATGACTGTGAATCCAGTGGGGGCTTTTAAAGGAATGTATTGTATTTGCCACAAAAACACAGAAGTGGATTTGAAAAATAAAACAGAAATTTGAGCAGTAGACGCTTTACAGAGAAGGGCTGCTGGAGGATAGGGTGCAAAGCTCTCGGTCTGGGAACTACCAGTGAGGAAGGCACTCCCTGTTGCGGTCTGAGAAGAAATCCAAGGAGTGACCAGATGAAGAAACATGCTAGAACTGGGGTGTAGAAAAAAGGACTCTCCTCATCTCCTCCTAGTTGGTTAGAAATTAATGGACATAATTAGAGCATTGCAGACACCCAGTTCCTTAGGTTGTCTCATGCAGAGAAGCTTGTTGGAACCCAAATACTTAATACTTAACTATATCTCCTAGATCAGGCAAGGTTTGACAGAAAACTCAATCAGTTAGCTATTTCAAACAGAAGTGGTTTCCAGGGAAGAACTGGATGGAAGAGGCCATAATAACAATAATTAAGAATAATAGCCAACTGTTACATTGGCACTTACTTGATATCTAACAGTATTCTAAGCCCTTTTACATCTATTGCCTCTTTTAATGTTCTCCACAAACCTGTGAGGATATGCCATTAAGATCTCCATTTTAGCCCTGGCCAGTATTGCTCAGTGGTTAGAGCATTGACCTGCGGACCAGAGAGTCCCAGGTTTGATTCCCACTAAGGGCATGTACCTCAGTTGCAGTTTGTCCCCGGCCCCGGTTGGGGTCATGTGGGTGACAACCACTCGATGTGTCTCTCTCACATTGATGTTTCTCTCTCTCTCTTCTTTCCTCTCTTCCTCCAACTCTATCTGAAGATAAATGCAAAAAAGTTCTTGGGTGAGGATAAAAAAGAAGAAAAAAAGATCTCCATTTTACAGAGGAGAAAATGAGAACACCAAGGCACAGAGAAATGAAACAATTTGCCCAAAGTTGTGCAGCTAGTAAATGGAAGAACTGGGACTGGGGTAAGAGGGAGACAGTGCATTGAGAAAAAGGATGGAGATTCTCAATAGTTTTCATAATTCCTCTTAGGCTAGTAAAGTGTTCCAGGGGTGGGAAGGAGAGGGTGAAAAGGAGGCTATCCCAAGCTAGCAGACAGGCTAACGTAAGATTTAAAATGGCCAATGATGCCTTGGCCGGTTTGGCTCAGCAGTTAGAGCGTCGGCCTGCTGACCAAAGAGTTGTGGATTTGATTCCTGGTCAAGGGCATGTACCTGGGTTGCAGATTTAATCCCTGGCCCCGGTTGGGGTCATGCAGAGGCAACCAATTGATGTGTCTCTCTCACATCAATGTGTGTGTGTGTGTGTGTATGTGTGTGTGTGTGTGTGTGTGTGTGTCCCTCTCTATCCTTCTCCCTCCCTTCCATTCTATCTAAAAATTAATGGAAAAATAACCTCAGGTGAGTATTAACAAAAAAATAATTTAAAGAAAATTTAAGTGGCCAATGAGCCGAATGAATTGATAGAATCTAATAAGTCTGAGTGAACCATGGTAGGCTTCTGAGCAGGGAAATGATGTAATGCCAAAGATATTTGCAGATGATGGTTCCTGACAGGTGGAGGGGCCGTAGTAGAGAAAGGCTAGCTGAAGGCAGGCCAGCTGTTGCTGTAATCCAGGTGTGAGGTGATAAGAGGCAGCCGGGAAAGGGAGAGGGGTGGTGGAAAGGAGACAAAGGGACAAAGCCAAAAGACACCAAAAGGGTATTTCTCCAAGTTTAGTCAGTCTGCAGCAGGTTTGTTTAAATGCAAATTCCAGGTCCCATTTCCAGACTAAAGAGTGGAGTGACACTTGGGAACTGCTAACTCTAACAAGTTCCCCTGGTGATGCTAAAGGATGTGAAAGTTTGAGGAACCCCCACTAAGTGAAAATCACCATGACCTGGTAACAAAGTGAGCTGGGGAGGAGAGAGCAAAGTAAGCATGAGTCGAGGATGACTTGAAAGTTTTTGTTTTGTGTTTTTTCTAATTGTGGCAAAATGTATATGACATACAAACCCATTTTAACTATTTTTTTTTTTTTTTTTTATCCTCACCCGAGGATATTTTTCCATTTTTTATATAGATAGAGTGGGAGGGAGAGAGAGGAAGGGAGAGAGAGAGAGAAACATCGACGTGAAGGGACACATCGAGTGGCTGCCACCCACACGACCAACCAGGGCCGGGGACAAACTGCAACCGAAGTACGTGCCCTTAGCGGGAACCGAACCCGGGTCTCTCCGGACCGCAGGCCGACGCTCTAACCGCTGAGCCAAACTGGCCAGGGCCATTTTAACTATTTTTAAGTGTACAGTTCATTTGCATTAATTGCATTCACATTGTTGTGCAATCATCACCACCATCCATCTCAAGAACTTTTTCATCTTCCCAAACTGAAACTTTATACCCATTAAACACAAATTCCCCATCCCCCACCCTCACTAGCCTCTGGTGACATGACAGTTTGAGTCTGAAGGATGAGGAGACTACAGAAATACTAAAGGAACCAAGTGTAGGCGGAAAATTTAGATTTTCAGAAGAAAGATGAATCCCAATTTTTATTTCCGGCTGAGC